GGGGCTTGTGCTGAGTATTAGTCACTTTTCTGTTGCCGTGATAGAAACACCATGACCAAGGGAACTTTAAAAGGAAGAGTTTATTTAGCTTAGGGTTCCAGAAGGGCAAGAGTCCATCATGGTAGAGAGGCATGGCAGGAGGCAGCTGGAGCAGAAAGCTGAGCACTCACATCTTCAAGCACATACAGGAAGCAGAGAGAGACAGAGAGAGAGACAGAGAGACAGAGAGACAGAGAGAGAGAGAGAGAGAAAGTGGGGCAAGGCTATGAACTCTCAAAGTTCACCCCCAGTGACATATTTCCTCCAGCAAGACCTCTTACCTCTTGAAGGTTCCACGACCTTTCCTAAACAACACCACCAACTGAACAAGTGTTCAAACAGTTAACGCCTATAGGGGACAATCTCATTCAATCACCATATATCTCTGTTTTATTGTTGGTTATAAAACATAGTCTCACTCTATAGCCCAGGCTGGCCTTGAACTCATGATGATCCTATCTCCATCTCCATTTCCCAAGTCTTTAACAGCAATTTTTAAATATTTTATTATTTTAATTTTATGTGTATGAGTGTATTGCCTGCATGTACGTGAGTGCACCTGTGTCATGCAATGCTGCGGAGGTCAGAAGAACAACATGCCTGGGCATGCCCAGGCTTGCCTGGAACAGCTAGTCAAAATGGAGTTAGTGCTGTCTTAAGCCAAGCAGATTACAGAAGCGGAAAGAAGCAGTTAGACGAGTCAGGGTCCTACACCACCACACCCAGCTTGTTTCAAAATTTTTTTTTTTTTCAGGTCTTTTTGAGACAGGGTCTCCCAGTAGCTCCAGCTGGACTGGAACTTGCTATGTAGACCAGCCTGGCCTCAACCTCACAGAGATCCGCCTGCCTCTGTCTCCCAAGTACTAGGATTAAAGGAGTGTGCCACCACGCCCAGCTAACAGCTATTTTTAAATTAAAGAGGTAGCCCAGTATGGTGGCACATGCCTGTAGTCCCAGCACTTAGGAGGCAGAGGCAGGCGGATCATCTCTGTGAGTTCAAGTCCAGCCTGGCCTACATAGTGAGTTTCAGGACAGCTGGGGCTACAGGGAGACCCTGTCTCAAAAAAACAAAACAAAACAAAATAAAAAAATTAAATAGGTACAAAATAATCAAAACTCAAGAGTTTCAATCACAGAAAAATGTAAGAAACCATTATGTGATCCTCTATATGTAAATATACTATGAAAGATAGTTATACTCATTGTGGTGGTTTGAATGAGAATGTCCCCTGTACGCTCCCAGTATTTGGACATGCTGTCCCCAGTTGGTGGCACTGTTTTGGGAGGTCTTTGAAGGTGTGGCCATGCTGGAGGAAGCACATTACTGGGAGCAGGCTTAGAGAGTGTCAGATCTCCAATCACTCACTGCTTCCTGTGTTTGCCTGAAGATGTGAGCATATAGCTTCTGCTCCTACTCTAGCTACCTTTGCTGTCATACCTCCTGCCATGATGGACTCTTGCCCCTTTGGAACCATAAGCTAAGTAAACTCTTCCTTTTATAAGTTCCCTTGGTCATGATGTTTCTATCACAGCAACAGAAAAGTAATACCCTCATCTTTAAAAATTCCTTTACTAAAAGCCCTTGCAATAAAAGCACAAGATTTTTCTGATAAGATAGTCAATAGCAATGCCTAACACATCACCAATTCAGAAACAAACTACAGGAGCCTCTGTTTAAGACTGAATGGCTTGAAAAGGAAGATGGGCACCTAAAAAGTATGTAATAAAAGCCAGAAAAAAAGTGTTTTTCAATATCAGAGCTCTGAGATGTCAGATGTTGCAGAAAGTTCAAGTGCAATAGAGATAAGCACATCTCCATTTGCTCATCCCAGCAAAGGTTATTAGTGATCGTGAAAAGCAGTTTTGAGTAGTGGTAAGACAGAGTACTGTCATCAGGTAAAAAAGCACTGATACCAGGTATAGATAAGCAAGAGGCAGGCTAAAAGTTAACAGAGGAAGAGAAAAGGGATGCGAAAGATACACAAGAGGGCCTGGGGGGATGGCTCAGGGGGCAAAGTGCTTGGTGTGTAAGCACTACGTCCCGAGTTCAGAGCCCCAGAACTTATGTAAAGTCAGATGTGGTGGCATGTGTCTATAATCCCAGAACTCCTATGGCAAGGTGGGAGGTTCAAACAGGACAGCCCATGAGGTATTATGCCACAATGAACAAGAAGGCCTGTCTTAAACAAGGTAGAGAGCGAGTATTGACATCTGAAGCTGTCTTTTGACCTCTACATGCATGCCATGGCACCTGCACACCCACACTCACACAGGGAACATGCGCGCGCGCACACACACACACACACACACACACACACACACGCACATACACACAGAGACAGAGACACACACACACAAACCACACAACACTCATAAGAAAATCAAAGATATAGAAGAGAACATCTAAGTGCACCAAACTAGTGGAACAGGCAGAAATCAAATAGGATTCAATGGAAATATATTAACTTTATATAGCAGTGTGACGGTCTCGCCCACAGAATAAAAGAAAAATAAATTATTCACTATATTAACTCATTAATCAACTACAACAGGACATTATAGCCTTTCTTGCTATTTTATAGAAGAGGCATTAGATTTCATTATAAAATCCCAATTATAAGTAAATTTCCCATTTGTTCTTAGAAACAATTAATAGACACTACTCTTCAAGAAAGGAAGAGATTTCCTTAATAAGCACTGATATTCCAATTATGGGAGGCAATTTGGGTACTTTTGAGTCTCAGTCCAGGTGCATCCTAAAAGATCATTCTAGAGTCAACTCCTTTAGGTATGCAAGTTCTTGATTCTTGTCATTCAGCCGCTGTGGTTCAAAAGCAGATGCAACTAAATGGGCATGACTGTGTTCTAATAAAAGTTTGCTTGCAGTAACAGAGGACTGTATATTGTACTTTTCTAATCTCTGTTTCTAGCTTATCCTGAAGTTACTGGAATCCTTAAACCCCTTAGTTTTGTCATCTATAAATAGGTCAACTATTAAATGAAGATCTAAATTGCATTAAAATGCCCAGCATGTATAACTCAATGCACTGAACAAATGTTAACTTTCTTTTCTCTATGAGGTTAGAGTGCTCACTTGCCAGAACACCAAAAAAGGCAGAGAGGAGAGAATGTTCAAAGTGTGGAAAGATAATGACTCAAAGATGACTTTGCTAATTTTCATAAGTAAGTTTCAGGATTGAATTATTATCTGACTTTAATTTCTTCTGAAAACTTAAGTCAACAGTTTCCTGAAAATGATTTTCCCAAATGTAGTATTTAATAGGCCTACTAAAAAAATACACATATAAATGTGAGTGCATACATATAGCCAAAGGCTATATAACAAAAATCACAGTGCCAAGCAAGGGAAAACCTCCCTTTGAGTTGTTGGTCGGGGCAGTCCAAGAGACTCTCAAAATAATACAGGCTATTGCCACAGCTCCTGATTGACTCCTAGAACTTGAAGATAAGACCCTATTGCTGAAGATACAGCATACTGCAGATATAGGACTTGAAGCAATTGAGCTGGATTGACCTGGAAGCCTCTCTTCCCTGAAGACTAGCTCCCACAGTATCAGAAGATACTATGAAAACTGCCAAAGGAGAAAATCAATCAATAATCCTACCCAACTGTAAAGCCTACAAACCACAACAATGACAGGCCCAGTAATTCTTTCTATTGATGCAGCTGTGGCACTTTTGTCTTGGGAGTAATCAACAGTTATCTAATTGGACTTAAGGCCCGATCAATGGAAGAGGATTCAAGGGTGGTAATGTAAACATAGCCAAGTACACATGGCTGGAGAGGTCACAGACCCTAGAGAAAAACCTACTTCTGTCACCTCCCTAAGCCAAAATAATTTACTATATTCTGAATACTTGTCCTTCTATTTAAAGACAAGTACACCTCTCACCACTCATCAAAGAAGCTTCTTTTTGCAACAAATGAAAACTATTACAAAGTTCTACAACTGGTCAAACGCAGAGAATAAATAAGACACTGTGAGGTGCTCAGTCCTAAGTGACACCTCTACAATGCAATCTCTACACCTGAGGCTTTGAGAACATCACAGAAGAGAGGGCAGAAAGAATGTAATGGCCAGAAGGATAAGACACCTGCTGCTAGTTAATGTATTCTAGGTGTGATAGGGAAGCTACACAAATGACATCTCCACAGTATGGTAGTCTAACAAGATCTGCATACTGACAAAACCAGTTGACATGTCAAGGTGGATAGGGGAAATTCCATAGGATCCCACCTCAAGATGAAGAGCTGCAGGCAATCAATGGATGCTGAAGGATGGAGAATCAGTTTTCTCTAAGGGCTAGCTCCCTGTGAGGTTATCTAATCCCAAGGGGCAGTCCTAAACACAGGAACACATAAGCACCATTAAATGGACTCAATGCATTTTACATATATACACACACATATATAAACATATGTATGTATATGTAACAATAATAATCAAAAAAGATGACAAGTAATTGGGAGGGAGAGGTGGCACAGGAGGAGCTGGAGGGGTACTGGGAGGGATGGAAATAAATACTATATTCATGTATAAAATTCTCAAAAATAAAAAACATTTAATTAAAAAAACTTTCCCAGGTATTTAAAACTTAACAATCTCCTTTCTAATATTTATGTTAAAAGCCCAAGTTTAGATTTAATATTTTTAAAACACAGTACTGAGGAATTTAAAAATTTACAAACGGAATAAAATTCCAAAGGATCAAATAAAGCTTTTGGGGGTGATGAGGAGGATGGGGAAGGGGAAACAGGCAGCACAAACTGCCTTTTCTACCTCTGCACTGCTAATCCAGACCCATTTTTGCCTGGTCACTCAGTTCCAATCAATATGACAATTCTGAAACAAAGTACAGAATTGAAAGGAGTCTCAAAGCCCCCATAGGCCAGTAAATAATCAGGATTGGATTAGCAAAGTGAAGGTTTTCAAACTCACCATCTCTGTTAGTTTCCCATTCTACATTTTCTTCTTCACTTTCTGGTGTTCTCTCCTTAACAATTTTTATGTCTTCCTTGTCTCTATGTCTCCCTCTTGAAGATTCTTTCTAAAAGGTACATATATACATGCCGGTTACCACACTTCTGAAACTGTATGAGTTTAGTACTATATTATACAGCATTTAAATTCCATTAGCATTGCTTCATTTGGGCTTTTGTAAAATATTACCACTGAGCTACAAGCTCTGGTGCAGCATCACAATGAAGAGTCCACAGTGTGCTAATTTTACTAAGGAATAGCAGTTTGGTAAATACAAGAAGTAGCTCATAAACTTTAAAAATTGCAATGCAAACCTAACACTTTAATAAATGCTGGACATTGTATGTGAAAGCCATATATAAAACCCAATTTAGAAAGGCTAAACCACACAGAGTAGAGTCTAAAATTAATTGATCTAAAACTTATACCCTAAACTAACAGCTATTTTCCTATATACCAAAGGATAACTTCAAACCCAGTTATAAAGACTTTTGAAAATAGCTTTTTATCATATTTTGGAGAAAGCATATCATAGTTAAAACAATTAGTACATTAATCCTTAATATTGTAGCTAGAATACTAGAGTTTAGATTTTATTCAAGTTTAACATAAAAACAGTAATAATTCAATAGAATATTCTATTGCATAAGATTCCAAACCACATTTTACTAGCTGGTGAGAAAATAACCAAAGCTAGATCTAACTGTTGTCTTCCCACCACAGTGAAATGATTTTATTTACTCTAAATACAACCATGAATGATAGTTAGATTGAGTGCTTAAAACTCTTCCTGACACTTCCAGTTATAAAATTTGACTGTGTGAAACAAAAATTTTCCTTTAATTTTTTAAAAAATTCATATAAAACTGGCTCTAAATTTTATACATTTAGGTATAAAGTTATAAGAATTAATTCCAAAATTACATATCTGGTAGCTGGTAAGATAACACAGAGTTACAAAAATTATTAAAAAATTGTATAAAAATAAAATCTGCCATAGAAAGATTATTTTTTAAAAAAATCATGAAAAAGCCAGGCATAGTGGCAAATGCCTTTAATCCCAGCACTCGGGAGGCAGAGGTAGAGGTAGGCAGATCTCTGTGAGACCAAGGCCAAGCCTGGTCTACAAATAACATGTTCCAGGCAAGCTGGGGCTACAAAAAGACCCTGCCTTGGGGAAAAAAAAAGGAGCAGAATTAGTGTTGTCATAAACATAGTCTGTGGCTCTCTAATGAAGAACTAGCCTATGCCCCATCAACTTTTTTTAATGTTCTGTGAATTAAGCCCACTCTAAGTATACATTGAAATATACGCATACTAAAAATATTTAGAAAGAAATCTCCAAAATACTAAATAACACTGTTTTCTATATCATAAAATGTCCAACTATAAACTTAACAGAAAAGGGATTCAGAGCAATAGTGCTGCTACAGAAAAATCAACAAAATAATCTATAAATCTGTGACACAGATTATTTATATCTCATTTAGAACCAGAAATATAATAATCAATACATCTCACTAATTACATAAATAGTTCACAGATATTGAAACCGTCTAATTTTTGAGTTGTCTATGTTTCAGTATGATTCTGACATTGTCCCA